CTACATGGTAATAAGGTAGTAATTATATTTAATAAATGTTTTATTAACTTGTAATTACATTTAATAAATATTTTTATTACCTTGTAATTACATGGTAATAAGGTAGTAATTACCATTTAATTACATTTTTATTTAGCTTGTAATTACATGATAATAAGGGTACCGTAAAAGAAAGCGTTACCCAAAAAATGTGGTTGGGAAACCCTTATTTGCCTCGCTCTGGGCCTCTGAGCAAGGCTGTTAAAGTACCTGTGACATCAAGTTTTTGTAATAAACATGAATGCATTTTTTTATAGATAGCACTAATCACAATTTTAAAAAAAATCACGACCCTGAGATGAACGTTTGTTGAGATATTCACATGTGGAGTAACAGGAAGTGATGTCAAAGGGGAATGTCTGCATGTGAACAGCATCTCTACCATGGCCAACAACCCAGACTGTAGATTATTTTGAGTCACTATCACAGATGTCAGAGTTCAAATAACGTTTTATAAACAAAAACCTTTTCTTAAAAGCTGTGATGTCACTTCCTGTTTCACTTTGGCTGAGCCAAATTCCAAAAGAGCGGCAGCCTCCTGCTCCACACGAGTGATGGAAAAACCAAAGAAATTATTTCCCCACTGAGGGRCAACGAAGGTTAAAATTATAATTATTCTAATTATAAATCAAATTTAAGAACATGTAATAAAAGATGATTAAAGTAGCCAATGTGTAAACAAAAATGTTTAGTGTTTGGAATACTTTTTGAGGATKACTCTCAGCTACTACCACACCAAATTTTAGCCTAATATCTGTGTAGTTGACTGAATTATAGACATTTTGTGTTCATTATGACGGATTATCTGTCTTGAATTGTGCAGATTATTATATTTCTGATGGTGGCAGCTGATAATCAGCAGATTTAATGACCAGTCTTACCGTCCAGCCTGGAGACGCGGTCAATGAGCTGGCTGACTTTAACGTCCAGAGTGTAGTGACCCACATTCAGTTTGTGGATGGCCTGATCCATGCTGGCTAGTCTGGACACTGAGGGATGGAAAACAGCAGAACCAAGTACTAAAACACATTAAAGTACACATTAAAGGACAGAGACGAATCATCCGTTTGACATCATTTAGACACAACTTGATGCAAACGAAGTGAACAAAACAACTCACAGACATAATTATACGAGCTTTCAAAGTCCGACACTTGGGTGGTKGGCTCAGATTCGGGTTCTGGAAAAATGTCGGGAACGTCGCCCCTCGTCTTCTTCACCTCTGGCACAGATGCCTGACGAACACACAGAAAGACCCCCCATGACGTCACTGTTTCCGGCTCAGACAGGAGGGAGTCTGGGAGTCCTTCTATGTCCTCTTTAGTTCAGATTGTAAACAGAAACCAGGTAGTTTGACTCATTTTGGGAAAAAAAACACTCATGTGGAGTCTGCCAACAGCTTAAAAATCTGTGTTCATTTCAAAATAAAAGCACCGACACTTGATCTGCAAGGCTGTTATTCTCAGCATTAATTCTTTTRTTTTGAAGTTCACATTTTTATTCTCTAGATCAACAAATCTTCCAGTAAATAGATGATAACTGTTTTTTCAAAGTAGTGGGAATGGTTCAGTCTCACCCAGTCAAACAACCATGATGATCACAGTTCAAATTTAATATCTTTAATTAAAAAATGACAGTTAATGCAGAGAGTTCTGACCTGTGTCGACGCAGCGTTGATCAGCCCTGCAGGAACACACACAGCCAGAAAACACAAACAGAGTGTGTGTGAGGTGGCAGCCGGTCCCATTGCAGTAGCTCCACTTTTCCTGCAGCAGCAAAAATAAAAACCACTGTGTGCACCTCCTGAGCTGCTCTGCTCCACTCCTTCTCCCTCCTGGAACAGCAGCAGGAATCTCTCTCTCCTCAGACATGTGAAGGGAGGGTCCACACACCCCTTCAGGGGGAGAGAGAGAGAGAGGAAAAGTCAGGTATCAAACAGAAACAAATCTTTTCCTTTCTGTCTTCTTCACCATGAGTCTCATTTTTCTCCTYGAAACAACAGGAAAGCTCTTTGTTTTCCATTTCCACGCTTTGTGTGAGCAGCGTGAGCTCATACTTCTGTCCTGTGGAAACAGAGCTCAAAAATAGAAACTTTCCACAAATAATAAACAGTTTTATACTTTTTAATATCTACTTTAAAAAAAAAACTGGTCAGAGATACGTATTAGTAGATTTAGTCATTGTTGACCAAAAGATCCTTCATTTGAAAATCTGGATCAGGATTAAAAACACTGGTGGAAAAGCAAAGAAGTAAATTTCCAAGCTTGAATTCAATAAAACACATTTAAATTACATTTAAATTAAACAAACGTAAAGCAGAAAAAAACAATTCCAATGAATTTTGGATGTTGTGTAAAACTTAAATAATAGAAAACGATGATTTAAAACAGGGGTGTCAAACTCCTGTCCTCGAGGGCCGCTATCCTGCATG